GGTGGGTTGTCCTGAGAAGAAGCTCGAAACGGCATTGGGTAACGAAGAGGTTATTAGGTGATGTAGAGAGGTGGGAGTTGGAGAGCTAGAGTCGTCGTCCTCGTAATTGGTGCAAACTACGCAAAGAAAGTTTTCTGATCGAGCACAACTTATTCATAAACTCTCGTAACGCCACTTGTAGTGGTTTAATAGTGGATAATATGCATATTAATATGCTGGGACTATATACAGTTATAATAAAAGTTGAAAAAAACGTCCAAACTAAGCAATTGACCAATAAGGATGATGAATACGTTCACGTGATTACAAATTGCACCCCATTCCGAAAAAGACCCGTTTCGTTTTAATCTGCCACATTTATTGGAGGGCACCTATACGTGTCGATAAAAATATTCGCTATACAAATACAACCTGGAAAGTACAACGTCAATGGGATGCACGAGAAATATGATTAAAATGTTGCGGGATATCAAATAAGAGAGACGAAAGCGAAGATAATTTGATAATTGATTATGATAGAGGTATGATTGAAATAATTATACCTATGCAAATACGACAGATATAAATATATTTTTATAAGCATGAATAGATCAATGTCCTGCACAATAACTTTTTGTTGTGTCGTCTTAGTTCAGAACCCAGTCACTCAGTCCAGAACTCAGTTGTCAGTTCCGAACCCAAACACTCAGTCCAGAACTGAGACAGGTCTCCAACTAAGATAGCAAGGCTACTTGCTAAACGTCGAACAGAATCTGTGTCTTTGAACAATTCACAACAATTCTCTCGGTAGACATTTATCAGCTCTATTATGGAGAGCAGTTGTAGCAAAGTTTGTAAAGCTTAAAACAATTTCTATATCTAAAAAAAAAATAACCATTGCCAATTAGATGAAACTCGCAACATAGTAATAGTAATAGACTATTAAACAAGGTAATGGTATGGAATAAGATATTGTTTATGTCATTGTGATGTACTTTTCATCCTTCTTTAATTCGGCACAGAAGCACATATATATCATACGTCTAAGAGTTAGCCGTGTTAGTGTAATTGAAGCCAAGTTATGATACTAACATCGTCAATTGTCGTATAATTTAGTGACTCAAAGTTAATAATTATGATTGGCTGCAGTCACAAAGATAGCACGCAGAGACTACTTAGCATAGTATACAATTGGGTACAATATGCAAGTACCAATTGTCTGTGGGAAGACTTGTTCCGGTTGAAGAGCGTAACAGTATGGAATCAAAAGCTGATGAATATGACAATGACATCAATTAAATTAATGATCCGAAAGTCTATCTATTCATGTTTGACATATGGAGTAGAATACCATGTAAATCACACGTACGGAGAAATTAAATAATTGGGTTAATGATCATTGAATAATTCATGTTCTTGACGAAAATGCCGGGAGATTATTAAGCAATATTAAATAATGTTATCTTCACCAAATATTTTCCTGCCATGACTTATTTTACCTAAGGTCTATTTTGGTAATTTACGCTATACCCAGACTGTGAAGTATTCGTCATCTCGCAATTCACGCCCTGTTACAGGTAATGGAAAGATTGCAATGTTTAACACTTTTCCATACATAACCTTTGCATATCAATATTATTTACAGTCAGTTACGAAGTAATAAAAGCTGTTACTTAATATTATCACTAACTTAATCAGGTTCCATGTCCGATCAACTATTGAACCAGCTTTCGAAATATGTAGTTTGTATACGCTCGCTGTTGGTTTTTTTTTTTTGCTCGCTTTGTATCTGTGCTAGCCTGTGGTAGAAAGCATATTAATTTCAATTCTTACATGCACACCATTGCGAGAGAGCATAGCGTAGAGATTTATATTACATAAGCTTTTTGCTCACGGATGTTTTCTTCGACAACGAACAGTTTGTCAATACATAAATTAATAAAAAGTAGTAGTGCTAAATGGGATGTTTTTACTAATTAATTATTGGCTTCATTTTACTTCATGATTCGTCCCCCCTAATCGATCGAATCATTGCTCTAACGGCTCATTGCCTCCCCCATTTGTTCTCTGTTGGAGTAGATAAAGTTCGTAGATATCCCACGGTAATCTAAAAGCTAATTGTTTTTAATAGAACTCCCTGTTCCACTGACGTTAGCGACTATGCTCTGCATTATTTGAATTAACAATAAAGACGGGATATTTCCATTGGTGTAACTTTATTTATACACCAGCAGCTTCCATATTTAGATGTCGATTTAAGACATAGACTATAATAGTAATAATATATGTATTATAAAATGAACTATGTTAGTGCCGGATAAGGCAAGTCCATCGCATGCACATCAAGTATTGCCGTGTAACACATCTAGCGTCTTTTTACTCGTTACTCCATGTATTATCATGACAAAACGTGCAAAAAGATCCCGTTTCCGTTTCCCGAACGATCGTTGTACTGGATCTAACTAGTGTTTGTTACCTAAACTAGCCATTTGCAGCAATCTCAAACAAAGTGTTCCCCACTGTTGTATATATTGTATATATTATGTTTGCATTGATTTATACTCCATAAATAGAACTAGTCCGACATATAAAAGCTCGCCTTTGGCAATCTCCCCTCCCCCCCCCTCCAAATTACGCAACAATTTTTCTTCTCCCCTCATCGAAACCCGCTGTAAATTACTTTCTCCACTATAATAAAACTCCTTGCTGGATCTATTGTGCAAATTGATTTTGTACAGTTCCAAGGAGTCTTCAATCAATCAGCATTTCACCTCCCCATTCTTATTGTTGTGTACTATCGCTCTTTCCATAGACGCATCGCTCACGTCTACATTTCAATTACACGCAAAAGCATAATTCATTCAATTCATAATGCATTTGACATCCTTGTCAGCCCTCTTCACAACAGCGCTTCTTGCATTTGCATCTCTTTCCGAGGCAGTACTGCCAGGAACATGGCCACCGATGGATCAACCTCCTCCGATAAAACCGGAGTGGGTTAAATTGGTTGACAAAAAGAAACTACCAAAAGCTCCCATACAAAGTGCACAAGCTGCAGATTGTTCCAAGGCTGTAGAGTTTTGTATATGGTCATGCAATACTTGCCTACGAAACGCATCAGATGTCTCAACTTGTCCAAACGACAAAGGTAAGCAAATGACAATGATGAACCAAAAATATGAGTAAAGAAAGAGATTGAATGGGAAAGGAAAAGATAGATTTAGACATGTTAAACGAATATTTTTTGTTAACTCACGAGATTCAGTACAGAATTAGAATTTTTAATAACGTTTCGCAATTGATACCTAGATTGGGGCTTTAGTTTCGACGATGGTCCGTCAACCTTCACACCAGCACTTCTCGACTTTCTAAAGAGCACCAATACTAAGGTCACATTTGCCGTCGTTGGTTCGCGAGTCTTCCAAAACCCTGAGATCCTCCAACGTATCAAGGAGGAAGGACACGAAATAGTAGTACACACATGGTCACATCCGGCACTTACTACTATATCAACAGAACAAATCATTGCTGAAATTAAATGGACCGAGTTAGCAATCCAAACAGCTATCGGACTTACTCCCAAGTACATGAGACCACCAAGAGGTGATATGGATGACAGAGTAAGATCTATTGCAACTCAGTTGGGATATAAAATTCTAATGTGGGATCGTGATACATTCGATTGGAAGTCGGCCGACGATCCTAATTACCAGCCCTCTTGGATTTACGACAATTTCACACAATGGGTTACTGATTCAAAGGGTCACATTTCACTCGAGCATGATTTATATGAAATAGGTGCTACCAATGCTCCTTATGCCGTATCTATTGTTCGAAAAGCAGGATATACCATCAAACCAGTGTCTGTGTGTACCGGAACGGCGGCATACAAAGAAAACGTTCAACTAGTCGCCAGTGGGCCAGTTCCAGCTGATGTTACTTTACCTGATCCACCAGCAGCAGCAGCAGCAACACCAGCAACAACAACGGCATCTGGTGCTGATGCGTCCGCTACTGCGCAATCGGCCGCTGATTCATCTGCCTCCAGCGCATCATCTCCTCAGTTTTCATGGCTCGTCTCATTCATTATTCTGACAATATCTATACTCTTTTCTGTTTAAACATTATAATTGGATAGTTACGGGTTACTTTGAATTCCGGCGTGAGTTACGAGGGTTAAGTTCCAACAACCAGATAGTATTAGTATGATAGAACTGTCAAGGATCATTTGATTACGTTAGTATTATTAATTTTTACACCAACAACAGTCCTTGTCATTTTGAGTATCTGTCACAATACATTAGTCGTTGTGTACATAATAAAGACATCAAAGAAATAGACACACAAAGTACGTGCGTGTGAGGTGTGACTGTTGAATAAGGGGTAGCCTCTCCAATTACGTCGTGATACGAAGTGTTTCATTTATCGAGTATTCATTGTGCCATACCTGTTGAATGTATAAGTTTTACGCATACGGTTTTTCCTCAAGTGTGCACAATATCTGTGACTTTTGCTTTTCCTAGGAACAGATATGGGGTATGGCATGCTGGGATGAGACACTCCTTGTAACACGGCAGATGAACTATCAAACCCCGAATCATGTGTGACCAATAAAGGACTCGAAAACTCAAACCCCGAATCATGCGCATTGTAACAGGCTCCTAAAACTAGTTAACGCATTCGAGCGTATGTTAAGCCCAAATTAATTGTTAGCTATATAAGATCTTTATAGTATTGATGGTTCAAGCTGGTAAATGAGATAATTAATTAATAAGTTGTAGTCTTTGAATATATTATTTTATCTTTTAATCTTTATTGCTGCAGTTGGTCTAACTAATGATACAACAATTATATCGTGTAAACGACATATGTAAATAAGACATTGTCCAAACTCTTCGTTTGAACAATGCATTCCCAATTATATGCGGTTGGTCAGCAAATCAAGATTGACATAAAGAAGTATACTATTTATACGCCAGAGACATCTATCCAACAACTTTGTCGTCATTGTTACTATGCAGAGTTCTTTGTATAAATAACGACGTGGATGATGTCTTATTGTCTTATGCACAGAAAACTCTACGTAGTAAAGCATCCCTTATCCAAAAATAATTATCATCATCACTGGTGGCATATGTTATTATCTCAAGTATTTATGTATTTTATTGGTCCTATATGGTAAGAACGATTAGAGTGATGTGATGATCTTACACATGCGGGAGTTTTCGAACTTTATTCCGCTGCAGAGTGTATTTTGAAACGCATGACTTGTTAAAACACCGACATTTGGATTTGTAATGATAATGATGTAATGTGTATTGTACTTGTCGTATTGTATTGGGTGGGATTGTGTGTTGGTATCGCGGGTATTGTAAACAATAAGTGTGTTACAGTTTCAAATTTGGTTAGACCTCGCTTCTGGAAATGAAACGTAATAGTAATGCGAACAGACATAATAACAAATGATGTTCAGAATGGCACATCGACTAAAAAAGAAATTGAACGGTCGATGACCATCGATAAACTTAAATAATAATAAGGGATAACCTAACATTGTTCTTATTGTTTGCAGAGCAGATAATGTAACAACATCTTACTTTTGCTTATTCAGTACTTACATCGCTACTTTGACTTTTATATTGTATAATATTTATAGTATTCGGACACCTTGTGCTTTCGGCGTGCTATGCTCAACTTTCATGTGTTGTAATATATTTCACGTGACTTTAGATACACTTGTATTACTATGTCAGATCACCGCTCAAATCACAAATTTTATATGCAGAAGCTTTAATTCTTATTATTATGTTAAAATAACTTTACAGTTTTGTGTTCAACAGCAATTACTTGACCGAGGGGGCTGAAATAAATCATAAAAACCACCAACTACGTTGACGTTGATTCGCAATGTGTTTACGTACATTCGACTGCAAATAAATCCACTAAGAAGAGTCGAAGCATATAGAAACAAGCCAAAATTTTAAAAAAGTGCCCAGAGATGTTATTGGTCGAAATATCTAAGTATAGCGTGTGATGCCACATGGCGCAAAAAGGTCAAATGACAACTAACGCAATCAATGCATTATATAATTTACATTATTATTATGACTAATACTTAATTGATTATTATAATTTTAGAAGCTTTCTCACCAAGTACATACAGTAAGCTAAACCTTTTTCATGCAATAATCTCAACATTCGCTTATCGATAGTTAGGAAAGGCAACAAAGACAACATCACAATCGGACAATTTTTTCGTTGAGTTGGTCTAACTATAAAGGACCAAAAATCAAGGTCCATTATTGTAACCCAGAATTGCATTGACTAGCGGTCACGGGCGGGCTGTGGTCTATGGAATAATAACAGCTTTTTACGTATCATGTATCATAAGCATCGATGGGAAGTTCTCACCAACATATCACCTTTCAACCAATAAAAAGCCGTAGATATATCGATAATATTTTGTGATTTATCAAAACAATATACAAGTGAAACTCGATAAGCCAAAGGTCGTGGGAAGGGACAATTTATTCGGCTTATCGAGATTTTCGTTTTATCAAATTTCGCAATAAGCCGAATTTATACAAGCTTTCGGCTTATAACAACACTAACGAAAACGTGACCCGGTCGTCAATACTTCGATATTGCTATATATAAACTTTATTAATGATAAAATGCAATACTCGTTTGCTGTAACATGTTCTGTTGTTTAGTCTCAATCGTTCTCTAACTTTTTTAGATTAGATAAGAAGACAGTATCAACTTGAAACTCACATCACAATCTTGAGTAATATACAGAAGCAAAGAATTGACATGCTCAAGAGCTGATTTATGAGAAATGGACTTGACTATTGGGGAGTCTTCTGACTCCGACAAGTCTTCTCCTTCTATTGTTGCAATAATAGCCTCTGTTGTCGGCATATCCTGTACAGAAACAAAATTTTCTGAATTAACAAACTCAGTCTACTTCTTCAGGATCGATAGGAAATCGATTAACAAGTTCAATTAGCTCTGTATTTGTTGATGAAACAACATCTTCGGTTTCAACAGCCATATTATTAGGTATAATACCCGTTTTTTGCCACGCGTGTTGGTTCCATGCAATTCTAACAAATTCGATAGCTTCACGAATATTAGTTTGAGGAATATTTGAAATTGATTGGTTCTGAGCAATAGCGTTATCGTACTTTTGAATTCGATCAATGCAATAATGTTTTCGATACTGACTTTTGAAACTGTAAATGATCCCAGCATCGCACGCTGGAGATGTACCGTACAATTAGGAGGTAAAAAATGTAGCGTAATATTCGAAAACATGGTATTATCGTCGATCTTATGCGAGGAAGCGTTATCTACGAGCAATATCGAGATAAAATTATTATAGTCGGTTAGCCAAAAATCTTCGGCTTATCGTTTAACGCGAATTTACTAGTTAATTTCGGCTTAGGCTATAATAAAATTTTGGGAAATCAAAAAAACTTCAGCTTAATGCAATTTCGGCTTAGCGTGACTTCGGCTTATCGAGTTTCACTTGTAGTAGTTGTTCAAGTTGTGATATGATGATGACTTGTTATTATTATCGTATCTACAGAAGTAGCATGGTATTAAATTACTTGACCGCCTTTCGGTCACATCCGTATATTCAACAGCGGATGACAGAGATCGCAATACAACACTGTTTACTATTTTGATTGATGAGGATATTACATTTGAGGAGTAACGTTAATATGTTGGGAATTCATGTATCTTCCTATACAAAAGGTATAGAATTTATTTTTATTGACTAATACCAATTCTCCACCATTTTCAATTATTTTTTGAATATTCTCTTTGAATATTCTTTTTGTATTTGGTCTATTGTTACGAGTAATTCTATTACAATAAGAAAAACAATACACTAAATTGTTTTTTGTTCTACAAATGTATAAAATATTGTTCCTATTCTTGTTTATGCGTCGTATCTCAGTCAATAATTGGGTTGATTACTTTTCTGTTAAGTTGGGTCAAAGAGTAAAAGGCGTCAGATTGAGTCTTGCGGAAGCAAGGTCTGAGATTTTCTTAATTTGTCGTTTTGCTAACATACCTTGCTGGGAGGTGTCAGTAGAGACATTACTTGTAGGAGCAGTCTTTCCTGTATTGTCTTCGTTTATTTCTTGTGTTGGGCGGTGATGTCTCAGTAACATGGGAGAGAGAGTGTCAGACAGATCGGAGGGGAGAATATACTCGAGATTATTAATTTCTACGAGCATGCAGCTACAGTCAACCCTCTCTAAATGCACACCTTACTTTATTCCCAAGCTCGGGAATTAGAGATAAAGGCACACCCTCCATAAATGCATTGCACGGTTTTTTCCATTTCCCACCCACCATATTAATTAAAACCTTTCCTATAATTTCGTCTTCATCAAGAACGTAATTAATTTGTTCGCGTACTGTCTCATCTTGAATACCAAATAAATGCACTTTACGCAGACTAAGATAATAGATCTTACTTGTTGATCAGAATGGGGTACTGGACATCTTGTGCTCAATCGTAACTGCAATGAACAGTAGCGACAATGCAGCTTGTTATAAAATGCTTATCTACCAATTTCTCTGTTGTTTTGTTAATTTCGTATTTTTGTTGTAAGTAATTTTTTTTTAATTTAGCCTTAACCAGATGTTCTTTGTATTTTTTCAGTAAATCTCGCTTCTTCTTCTTCCTTGCGAGCATTATACTGTAAGCTATTCCGAAAATGTTGCATAATCCGTTCTTGGACTCATAATTTGAATATAAGGCATTGGTTGGTGTCATAACTTGCGGAACGCATCATATTTTAACAATTTCAACGTGCTGTCGTTTTCGGGACCTGCAATAAAATCACGATAGACTGATTTATAACTCGTTTCGGCTTGGCGATTGAGTAATTCGGTTGACGTTTCTACCAGGACTTGGTAATTGATGAATTTCAGCATAGTTTTTGAGAAAATTCTTCACTACTGTAGCAACGATTATATTAATGGTCATTTTGGTTTTCCATCGACACAACACCATTCATTTCCAGATGATTTTCGAAGTGAGTGCGACCAATTCCCAACATATTGAGATACGTTTTCTGGCAAAGAGATGTATGGCGATCTCAGTAGTAAAACGTTCGCTTATTAGTACGCGTTTTTTTAAGGCAGTAATCTCCCTATCACTTATTACTTTCAACTGGGTTACTAAGAATAATTTATTTTCTTGTTCGGATCTAGAGAGTCTGAAACGGCTCATGTAATTCGGCAAATTTTTCTTTTGGAATTTTTTTTTCAGCAACCACAATTGCAATCTCTCCAAAAAATGTGTCGCTTTTCATATTCGGTGGAGCCATTATATTCATTATTCTTCATATACGGATAACCCTACATAAATTTTATCACTTTAATAACAGTCTGCACGTGTGTTCAAATCAAGGTATTAATTTCACAATTGAGTTGATTCGTAGTTTATTGTAACTGGGGTCTAGAATCAATCATATTCTAATTGGGACTTAACAGACGCTCTTGTAATTTCTGCAACATTGTTCCAAGTTTGCTAGGTATTCTATCACTTATTTGTACTGCATACAATGTCCTACATAAATTTAGC